GAAAAAAAGCAGTGATGAAATGAATCCTGTCGGGATAAATCAGATGAACTCCCACACTATATTCTAATACAGCCATGTGAGAGCAGAGACTGACGACGCTTGGAGAGAAAATGAGGAGAGAAAATACTTAAGATGGAGACCAGTCCATCCATTAGCTGAATTTTTTTCTGCCAACCGAGAGGGGACTGTCATTGCTTAGTATTAGCGATAGCCCAGCCAAGAGAAACACCTGCTTTATGCAGGCAGCTGAAGACAGCTGCTGTGGCCAGAGGGAGCTGTCTTGGGGCCTCCATCAGGCAGTGACATGATCAGATTTGCGCTCTGGAAAGGTCACAGCGGCTGCACTGCCGAGGAACGGGTGAAGGAAAAGAGACGTGTGGCTGTAACAGGGCTGCTGGAAAAGTACACATGATGAAAGCTAGACTCTGGGCACCTGAAGTGGGGAGGTAAATCCCTCGAGGGCAAGAGTTTGGGTCTGCTTGCCCCCTTTGACTAACTGCTGGCCTCTGCCACCATTAGGATTTGAGAAACAGTTCTACAGCTGAATTGTCTTGGACAGAAAGCTAATGAAGTCTGCATGAAATAAAACCGATGTCTCTTGCTGTTCTCTGCTTTGGAATGAGCATCAGAGCTGAAGGCAGAGCTAGGGAAGCTTCCTGGGGTCAAAAACCCTTGAGGTTATGAGCAGCAATTTAGATGGACAGAATACAGAGCTGCTGTTTCCAGTGTCTGCCCATCCGATCAGATCTGAGCAAGTGACTGTTGCTTGGATGAAGGGATGTTTGCTGCTCATCTGGGTGAGAGAACAGCCACCTGCCTTTTCAGAAGGTGTCGGTCGGGACGAGCTCAACTCCCTTCCTATGAGGGAACATTATAGCCACATCTGGATTCCCAAACCATTAAACAAGAATCTCCAACATGTGCTTGGATGATGTTCAGTTCCCACAACTATACCTTCCTCTTTGGGAGCGCAGAACCCAACCAGTGCTTTCAGACAGCTGGACTGCGGCAGAGCAGCTTCCCAACGGGCTCACTGTGTTGAGGATGAAAGGGTTTCCCAGCCACATCTCCTTTAAATTCCTTCCCTAAAGGCTGTGTGTCTCCCAGTGCTGCGAACCCATCTTGTGGAGCCACTAGCCTGCACTTGAGAGCCTGCTCTTGCTGCTGGCCTGCCTTCACAAAGCAAGCCCATGTTTATGGCCCCCTTTGGCACTGATTGGGATGACAAGGAGACAATGGAACACTTGTTCCCCAAAGAGACTTCGTGGACCCACTGGCAAAACATTAGAGAGTGGGTCTGAACCCAAGAAACAGGACAGGGAGGCTCTGCAAGCTTGGGCAGGATTGCGGAGTCCTACCCCAGGCCAAGAGTGAGTCAGAATGAAAGCTTTTACAATCTAAAACCATACACGTAGGTTTCAGTTTCAGGCTAACACATACTTGGTCATGAGGGAATGCTTTTAAAAAATCTGAAGCTACTTGACAGAAAAATAAAGCAGCAAAAAATATTGGAATACAATGATTTAATTCCCCCTTCCCTCCCCACTTGGTCCTGCTCCCCTGTAATGTGGGTCAGGGCCTACATGGATATGAGCACAGACAGGCAGGCAGACAGGCCTTATTCCCAGCTCTTAGCAGCAGTACTGGCTCAGAACACTGCTCTTTCATAAGGCTGGGGCTTAGTTGCTCCAGGCTGCCTTCTGGCCTCTCTGCTCAGCTTCTGAATTCTTCCCTCTCCCTGCTCCTGGGCTCTGGAGTTGCTTGAGGTGCCTGTTTGGAGACTAAAAGACTCCTTGTTCTATTATTCATAGATGCGAATACTGTTCATTTTTCTCAAAGAGATGCAGCTTCATTGGTCTCCTAAATGTCCAACAATAAATATTTAAGATTCACCAGGAAGGGTCGTAACACAACACCAGGAATTTCTTTAAGCTTCCCGAATGCAGAAAATGAATAAATTACCATTTTATATATTATTTGCCTGGGATCTGACAGTTTACAAAGTGCTTGTTTTTGATCTTCACAATAACCCCTGAGAGGTGGACAAGACACGGACTGCAAAAATTATTAAAATCGAACATATGTATACGTATACTAAAAGAGGACTCTAAAGGCTTTAGAGACACTGGATGGAGGTCAGACTATTTTGGGAACTTAATTTCAGGTCTCCAATATTAGTGCACGTATTTAAAAACCTTTTTATTTAGAACTTGTTACAAGCCAGATAAGGCGGCAGTGGATACAAAGATGACTAAAACACAGCCATCCAGTGTAGGAGGCAGATCAGGTTCTAGCCAGAAGTAAACAAGTCCCTGCTTTGCAAGAGAGGGATGTGTGCTCTAGAGAATGGAGGAGAGAAAAGGACCACGGCTGTGTTCCTGCCTGAGCCCTGCTTGGTGGTTGTTTACTAAAGCTCTGTGCACTGAAAGGAGGAGGAGGAGGAGGAGGAGGAGGAGGAGGAGGAGGAGGAGGAGGAGGAGGAGGAGGAGGAGGAGGAGGAGGAGGAGGAGGGGGCTCTGCCACGTGACTGGGGGGGCGGCTCTCACAGGCAGGGTTGGCTGTCGGTTGGCAAGGGAACTCTTCCTTCCCTCATTGCACAGTAATCTCCCCTGGGGTCTACACAGGTTTCCTCGCTTTTCGCTCCTCGAGATGAACCCGGGGCCTTGGCTTTGGGGACGCCGAGTGCAGGGCTCTACGGTCTCCAGTGGGGTCTGAGTTGCTTGTCATCCCCGGAACAGCCCGCAGCTGATTGTCCGTTGCTATGGGAGTGGGCGCCGGGGTCCACACCGAGCTCTGCAGTTGAAGCCAGTCCTCACTAATCTTGCCATCAGCTCACACTGCTGCTCGCCGGCGCCTCGATTCTTCTTCCATGCTTTCATTGTGCTATGTACCTCGAAGATACTTTTCATAGGAATGCTTAGTTGCACACGAATGTACAAACACGCCCCCTTTAAGAGGAAAGGCACCCGGGACACCCGCGCCTGACCCCACAGGGCTCCGACGCTAGGCCTCGCTGGAGTGCCGGCTTGGTCAGCCTCGGAGAGTCGTAGGCGACCCTGAGTGTGGCCAAAGTGTCCCCAGTGTAACCCCCAAAGCTGTGGTCAAGACTGTGGGCGATGCACTCCAAGCATCCGCGCTGCAGAGATACGTCTGTCACTTGGGCTTGCTGTGGCCCCGGTCTGTGCTCTAGAGACGTTGGCAATTGCAGCCCGGGGGTGGGGGTGGGGGTGGGGGTGAGGTGGGCTCGGCGAGTGACCCCAAGCCAAGCCACAGTAACAGTGAATCGATGCATGGCTCTAGAGACTGGCAAGCCACCCGAAGGCCCAGCTCGGTAGAAGGCAAACATAGCCACAACACCAAGTTCTTTTTCGGGGAGTGGGACTGAGGGGATCTCTAAGTTAGCAGGGAACTTTCCCACTTGACAAACACAACACTGTAGTGGGGATCTAACGACCCCCTGACTGCCCGCAGCAAGACCGGCAAAGCCTGGAGTTCAAGCTATTTTTTTCCCCCAGTTCCTTTTTATCGCCTGGTTGTTTTTCCAGATTTTTTTTTCAGCTTAAAAAAAAAAAAAAAAAAGGGCAAAACCATCTCAGCAGCGCCAGCCGCCTGCAGTGGAGCGTGCCCGGCCTGCAGAGGCAGTCGTCTCCCACTTTTTTCCTCCGCCCCCGCTCAGGACTAGGCTCCACGAGAGCCACGTTCTCTTACTTTGGCAGTTCTAGTATAAGTTCACAACTGCCTGGACCCCAGTGGTGGTTTTCAGTTCCAGAGTCAAGTTTTTGAAGCCAGTTTTTTTGGGCCAGGACGCCCAGCCCAAAGCCTGCACACACTTAAGAAAAGGGAAACAGGGCACCTCGGGAACTACCCCGGAGAGGGCGGAGCTCTCCCACCCCTGGGGCAGGGCAACAAGGGAGTTCCCTCTCCGGAACGTTGCAAACAAAGCCCATGAATAGCGCAGGGGGGCACCCGCGAGAGACGGACAGGAAGAGGCTGGGGGACCGTCAGAGCCGGGACCACTGCACGGAAACGGCGTTGGGGGCAGGGCTGCAGCCTTATCCCGGGATGGAGGGTGCCGAAGAAGGAGTGAGAGGCCGGGGGGGCAGGCCGTGAGGTCCTAGTGGAGGCCTGCAGCCTGCTGGCAGTGGAGGACCAGGCCACCCGAGAAAGAAAGGGGTCAGGTCACTCTAAGCCCTAGAAGGCGCAGTCGAAGAGGAAGGGAGCTGCAGACACTCCCTTGTTCTGGGCTCAGGCCCTTTTCGTGTTTGGAGCAGGCCTTTTGTGAGGAGAGTTACCCAAATCTCCGTGTTAGAGCCACATGCCAAACACCCAAACGCTAAGTTAGGGTTAGGAGGCCAAAACCTTTTGGGGGCGGTCCTAGGAAATGAGTGGGTAGGGGTCTTTCCCATTCCCTCTCCTGATTGGTGGGTTAGACGCTTGTAGATCCACGCCTGGATTGGGGAGGGGTCTGCAGGACGTTAGATTTCGACGCTAGGATTGGGGGGATTCTAGTGCTTAGAGATCTGAGCCAAGCCTTTGGTAGGGGGAGCCAGACAATTGGAAAGCCTAGGTGATTATTTGGGGAGGGGTCTTTGCGCTTTGGCGGAGCGCAAAATTGCGCCGTTTTTTTTGTTTGTTTTTGTTATTTTTTTTTTTTTTAGCCTAAGGCCTTGTAAAGAGAGGTTTCTGTGCAAGGGTGGACCAGCTAGACCAGACTAAGAAAGAAAGTGAAAAAAAAAAATCAAGATTATAAGGGGGTGGGGGACCCTGGAAGGGGGTTCACAAAGGGTGAGACATGGCCACCAGGCGTTTAACCGACGCTTTCTTGTTGTTGCGGAATAATTCCATCCAAAACCGGCAGCTGTTAGCCGAGCAAGTGAGTAGTCACACCACCTCCAGCCCTCTGCATTCACGTAGCATTGCTGCGGTGAGTCTCCTGGCGGCCTCTCCAGACACACAGTGTGTGCACTGCGGCTCTGCCTGTCTGTCTGTCTCTGTCTGTCTCTCTGTTTAAAAAGGAAAAAAAAAAAAAAAGAAAGAAAGAAAAAAAAAAGAACAAGACGACGGCGATTAGGATACTTAAGTGGAAGGGTTCCTTGGCCAGGGGTCATGGGGCACCTACAACCCCCAATGGGCACTGCAGTATCAAGCCCTCTCTGCCTTACTTTACCCTTCTCACTTCCCTGGTCCTCCTAGTCTTCCTCTCCCAGCTACCTTGCTGTCACAGCACGACAGGCAGCTTCAATTTACATATGTTTTAGCCACGAGGACTTGGAATCTAGGCCTTTCTCCAACCATCTTTTTGTTTTGTTTTGTTTTGTTTGGAGTGCTCCCCTTCCCCGCCCTCTTGCAATGGCTTCACTTTGGTTCTTTGGGTCAGGTGGTTGGTTAGCTGACTCAAATCCTTGCAGAGAGAACTCTCCCCCACCCCCACCCAGGAAGGAGTTTTGTGTGGGGTGTGTGTGGTGGGGGGGAGGGTTGGGAGGGTGTGTGTGTGTGTTTGTGTGTGTGTTCATTTTCTTTTCCCACCATTTTTCTTCAAATGGCCCCAGTCCTCGGTGTAGCCTGTGCACCCACGAGTAATTGCTTTACTGTTTTTCCTGGGGCTCATGTTGGTGAGACTGCAGGGTGCTATGCGCTTCGTTTTCCATTTCCCACACAGGAAATTAAGCTTTCCCCTCCATTCGAACTTTTTTTTTTTTTTAAAAAAAAACATGATGTGGATGTGAAAATTAACCCCCCAAAATAGCACATGGCTTTTGATTTTATTGACCGGAACTTCACTTGGTCTAGCAGTAGTGGGTTTTGTTGTTGTTGTTGTTGTTGTTGTTGTTCTTTTTCAAAGCAATGTTCCAGAAAGATTGCTGTATTTGGTTTGTTTTTGATGGAAGCTTTGACTTCCTGAGCCTCTGTCTACTGCCCTCTCAGATAGGGGCAGGTCTGAATGGTCCAACCAGACGAATATTGTTGGCTTTGTAATACCTTTAATTGAAAAGGGAAGGTTTGAATGGAAGCAGCCTTAGAACATAGGGGCATGAACAGTCTCCCCAAGACCTTAGGAGGTTGTATTTGAAATACAGTTTGGGAAACCCTGCACCTTTGCACCTTTCCTACCTTTTAGATGCCGCATTGCCTTTTCATCTTTTCTTTTATCATTTATCGAAGTGCTAATGAAAAATTAAGCTCTGTGTCATGATTGTCATTGTGTTGCCAAGACAGTTGTCCCTTTTTTTAAGTCACCGTGGAAATTATGTTTGGCCATATTATTCACAGAAAAGGGATTTGAAGCCGTGTGAGCAGTTTTAACGATTAAGGTTTCAGATGTAAACTTTGGTCATAAGGCATAGATAACTAGCTCCAAGTGTATGGGGGCTTTTCTTTGCATTTATATTTGAAGGGTTTTTACATTTAAAGGCTGAAAGAAATAATATTATATAGAAATAAGTAGGAAAAAAATCTTAGCATGTTCATTCTAACACGGCTTTTGAAAAAGAATCTTCACAAATTAAACCGAGAAATAGTGAGTGGAGACGGGATGAATAGCACTGGTGGGTCTTCTCAGTTATGTTAAATAAGAGTCGTCTGTTCTTTATGACTTGATTTTATGCTACCTCACGGGGAAGGGGGAGAAAAAAAACAACCCAGAGCTAAACCCATACTAACGCTTCTAGGGTCTCAATTTTAATTGATGAAGAAGATATTGTTTGGTTTTTTAAATTTAATTCTGTATGTTCAAAGCATCCTATGATGAAGAAGATATTGTTTGATATTTTAAATTTGATTCTGTATGTTCAAAGCATCTTGAACCTTTGGGTAGCGTGATTTAAAAAAAAAAAAAACATTAATTCAGAGAGTTTAAAAACACCATGTCTCCAACAGGCAGCTCTTCTAAACTACGGTGCTGAGTCCAGCTGCTTTTTAAATGTTTTTCTAAGCAAGACTATTTGAATATGTATCTGTTTGCCTACCTAAATATGTGGGGAGTAAAATAATTTAAAGTGCTTAGCTGTAGTATATGGTTTGGAAAAGCAGATGATGTCAAGAATTATGCAGATCCATTTAGCAAATTCGGACAGCATTTTGAAAATGATTTATGAATGCAACTAAAATTCATGTTGAAGTTAAGAACATTAACAATATTTTCATATGTCATGCTATTGAAAATACTGAATGCTTTTATTAGCCGGTGCTTCCGGCATTTTCCTGAGATGGCTACGAGGAGTCAAGTCCGTGGAAATACCTGTACGATCAGTTCGGACTACTCAAAAAAAAAAAAAAAAACAGATTGTTGCAGTCCAACAAAAATAGTTTGCCTAAGTTAGAATTTAAAAGGCAAAAACACATTCACAGCTCTATATTTTAATTGTGTTCATTAAGAAGGCAAATGCATGCTGTAAATATCTGTGTTTAGAATGAAATGTTATATTTTCAGTTTGTTTATAAGTTTTTTTTCCACAGATTATTGCTGCACCTAAAATAATCAAGAATGTCAAGATATTAACAGTAGAAATTGTAATTTCTACTTTTTTTATAACTTCTGGAAATCAAGAAAGCATTATTGAAGAAAAAGATATGTTTAAGACAATTTTTAGAAACTCCTGCATCGTTCACACGGTGCTTTTGGCTCAGAAAAATTTGAAAACCACATTTTGACTTTCAATTTCAAAACTATCTGGTAAATTAAAACCTTATCAGTCAGCATTGAATATGGACAAGTATTAGATGATATTAGATTATCCAAATAATTATAATTAAATTTGCTAATTTTATTAGATAGCCATGAAAATATTTAATATTGAAATGGAACTTATTTTATATATTCTGCTCTCAAAAATAGAGGAAGCAGAAAAGCAAAACATTTTTAATTGTTGAATCTAGTGATGCTGATACATGCCAGGATATTTTAAACATTTTTAATTGTTGAATCTAGTGATACTTATGCATGCCAGGACATTTTACTGCTTTGCATTTTTCTCAATATAGTTTGTAGCTTGGAGAAATTATAAATAAAAACTTTAAAAGTATGTATTTGTCTTAATCAAATGAGACAAAAGAGACAATATGTAAATACATATTTAAACTTATATAATTAAAAGGGAAGTAGCTAAACCTGAGAATTTGATTTTAAAAAATCATTACCTGGAATTTTAAATTTCTAATTAGAAGGGGAAACTGTAGATACTGATTTTAGTGTTTGTTGTCTCATATGTAATTAAAAATAAATATCTAAAATGAAAGATTTTATTTATATAAAAATTTAATATTGAGCTTTCACATCCCTATTGAGGACAAAACTACAGAAATGGATTACAAAGTAGTATGTGGATATGCGTATCTTATACACCTCAAAACAAACCACGGTGGAAGCCTTAACATTTAAAACAGTAGCCCATACTTTTAAATAGTGGTTTGAAGAGAAAAGGACAGATTTGTTGGTGATGGTTGCAGCAGGAGGCTGTGTATGCATAGAGATTTACGGCTAGGTACGGGAAAATGTGTGATGAATAAGGAGGGGTTTAAGGAGAACTTGCAAGCAGCAAAATAACCCAACAAAATCCTCCCCGAGGACCAGACTGGACGTAAAGGCCTTTGGTGCAATGTCCCTTTTTATGGAACCCTCATGTTTTCTTGCTAGACTCTTCTGTGATGGATCGGCATTCTGGCAGCTGTCATCTTTTACTTCTGAATTGTCTTTTCCTTTATCGGTGCCAGCAATTTGCCTCCCACTCTAGGGTCTGTCCCCTGGTGTTTGTGGCTTAGGACACTGATTCTTCCTGTATGTGGACCCCACCATTGCCGTGTTCCCTGGAGGGTTTTTTTTTTTTTTTAAACTCAGCTGTCCCGGGTTAGACGCATAGTTTAAGTTCCTTCGCTGTGAATGAGGACTGATTTTTCTGTATTCTTTTTAAAGCTCAGCACAACAACTATACGAAATTCTACTCATTTATATTTTTGTGTTCATATTAGTAAGGTTAATTTTGTTAAAAACAGAATGGGGTTTGATTTTTGTGTCCAAGCCAGAGGCACTTGTTGGTACTTTTCAGGAGCTGGGTCCTGCCTTAGGTCTGGAGCATCCATCACAATATCCCTCGGCAGCGTGTGATAAAGGCAGAGTGATGGATGGAAGTCTGGGAATTCAGTCTGAGCCCTGCTCTGCTGTGGATGTAATCTTTTTGGACATCTTTAGTCTCCTTGCTAAATTGAGGATTTTGAGTGAAGTGATCTCCGGTGGCCCCATCAATTCAACAGTGTTTCTGCCGTTCTGTTTTAATATTTGTTTCTCCTGACCAAAGCACACAACCTTACCTTTAAATTGAAAAGGAGAAATCTATAGTCAACAACAGTGTTGGCTGTCAGCTCAAGGCTACGGAAGAAAAATACTTTAGAGTAGCCCAATACTGTACAAAAGTAACTTTTTGACATCTTGTCTGCCAAGCCCAGGGTTGAAGTCAGTGCCTCGTACAGGCAATTGCGAGCAGCTGGCTTCAGGAACCTGTGAGGATTTATAAAGTTAAATAATAATTAAAAAATGAAATCTGGGAATGACTGAAAGGGGGAAGCTGAGTTGGTTAAGGTGCCGTGTTGCTCTTGTTTTCTCGGCTCTTGAGATGAATCTGAACCAGGGTGGGATTGCTTGGCTAGTGCTGACCACTGACCTATACTCTGCTGTAAAAGCGTGCACGACTATACATGAACGCCAACGTTAATTGCTCCTAGATTAGTTTGAAACTAGCCCATTATTTTTGATAAAATGTGTGCTTTTTGGGGGGGGGCGAGAACCTAAGGATTAACTGTGGTTTTAGGAACCTGAGGTCCTTACTCAGTCTTGACTGTGATATTAGTGAAGATTTACGTGTGCTTACTGTGTGCCTGGTGAGGCTGAGCCTTTTCCATGTGTGACCTTTGTTGTCCTGGATGAAGTTGGTGCTCATGGTTCAGATGAGCAGAGTGATGATGGGTAGAGGAACTGACCCCGTCACCCATCCCGCGAGTGTGGGATTGTGGGCCACAGTGGGTATGGAAGGACTTACTTGTTTAACTACATGGTTTTTTTGTTTTGTTTTCTCTTGCTAGCCTGGTTTTTTTACTTCTTTTTGCAGCCATCCACGGTCAGTTTTAGCTTGCTCATCGTAGGGCCTCAGTCTGCTGGAGAATCATGTCTTTGTCTGTAGGCTCCAAATATGAAATCATTGTATATTTCTCTTTAGATATATTTGCTTTTCTGCATGTAAAGGTTCCATTTGAGCTGGGAGACTGACTTGCGAACGAGGGTGCTTTGTTGGATGAAAGTGAAGCATACTTTTATTTTTGCAGCAGCAGGAAGAAAGTAAACATGAGTATAGCACAGACCTGTGCTTCCAGCTCACTCGGCTCAGCTTGTCCAGACCCCTGAACAAACACGGATGGGCTTCCTCTTCTCACTTCTCTGTAGGAAGTTCTTTAGACTATAAATTCCAAATGCTACTTGGAATTTTTCAATGCTTGCTTGATTGCTTGCCATGGGCAGGTCACAAGCCGTGGTTTAGATGATACAAAGGTTTTAGAAGGTGGTGATGGACTGTATTATGGTCTTTCCTGATTGTGATTCTTGTGTTTTAACTCAGGTCTAAATGACCAAATTTCCTGGGACTTTTGGGGCAGGAGTTTTGGAAACTGTCTATTTTTAAGAAGTAGAATGAGGGTGGTCTTTGAAAAGGTGGTATTCTGAGTTCAGTCCTGATGTGCAAACATTCCAGGAACGATTAATAGCAACAGCGAGGCTGGATGGTGGGGTGGGAAGGGTTGGTGCACCTGAGCTGCCCCCATCCTCGTCTTCTGGCTGGGATATTTTAAAGCGTAGTTCTGAGTGTTTGTAAGTGTTGCTTTTAATCCTAGAATCTCATGGTTGTAATTTCACCTCTTAGCGCCTAGTAATTGTAGGAGTGAATAGAAGAGGATGTGTGCGGCCAGCTAATAACCCAGCGGCACTGGCTCAGGTGCGAGATGGCTTAGACTGTGTCTCACGGTGCCGCTTCCCTCTAGGAAGGCCCGGGATGACTCAAAGGGGTCTAGGCTCAAGCCCCACAGCAGAAGATGTCATGCATCTGGGATATTGATAAAAGATGTCTGTGCTGTGTTTATGGATCTGCTTTGCTTTTTTTAAAAATACATTTTTTTTTAAAGCAAACTGAGACGAGGTATTTCCATGGCTTGTTCTCCTTGAGCCTCTACCATAGCAGCCTGTGTGCACCAGCAAAGTGCAAGGCTCTCAGCTCCAAGATGCTCTCACGGATTTCTGTGCAGAGGGATTATGTGATTACTTCATGTGTGGATTTTGTTGTTGTTATTTTGATTTTTTTTGTTTTTTTTTTTTGCTAGCATTATGTGATAGCATTTTGGTATCAATAATCAAGCTTCATTTGTACTATTAATTTTTAAATAAGAAAATTATGTTATTTATTATTTTAATTTACTACTAAGCATAAAAAAATCAACACTTGATTATTGAAATTCACCACTAATTATTTCCATGATCGATACTGTAGGGAAAAAGGACCTTGTTGTTTAGATTACCTGTCATTAGTAACTGTCTCTTAGAAGATAGCCTTTCACATTGGTCTAAACAAGAAGCTTAAATTTTCAACTGAAATTTAACCCTTGAGTGTCCATTGCCTCCTTCCCATACTGGTGAAGCTGGGTCTTTTTCCTGTCTGCTTTGTCTCCTTAGCTTACAGTACCCTGTAGCCATCCACATAGCTGTGCCCAATCACAGCACATGCAGGAGTGTTTCTTTCTCTGTCCATTTGTGTCTCCATCACCGGGGATAAAGCCGTGGCCATGGGGTTTGATTGGCTGCACTATGATTTGAATGCAGCCATTGGTCAACAGTTTTGCGGGTTGTTTATATTTTAATTCCATTGCATTTGCTGAGCTGATTGTCATGTTAAACTATGCATTTATATGACATGGTAACGTTATACTTTAGCTTTTATTTTATCTTTCTGAGGAAATTTAGAGGTGATATTGCAAGTGATAATTGATCTTTATGAAAAAAAGATTACCTCTGTATTTTAGTAAAACAAAGCAAGTATGTTTTGCTTGTTTACAATGTGTTTTAATTTTCACAACTATTTATAGATTACTACCTCCTTTACCAAAAGAACTGCAGTAACTAAAAACACACATTGGTGTAGCTGTTCCTAAGCGGGAAGACTCCAGGGCAGCCTTTGAAGTGTTGGGTTGTGTAGTCACTTGGTTAGGTTGATACTGTCTCCTCACCTGATGGCCTTGTGTGTCTGTCTGCCCATGCCTTTCTGCTTTTCCTGCCCGGACGGCCCGACGGCAACACCACAACTACAGGAGCTGGATGAGGTACTGTGCTTTGAGTATTTTTGTATGTTGGGTGATTTTAGTTTATAAAATACTGTTTCCCTGCAGTCTTTGGTCACATACATGACACTAGCCATGGCATACATGTAGAGTTGATTTGAATTACTGTATGGAATGTATTGATTTCATACTTCGCCTGTGTTCACACCCTGTGAAATGGTGACTGAGAAGGATGCTTAGGAACCATGTCTACTGTTTGGGAAAGTTCTCAGTTTGGAAGCAGCCACAGGGGAGAGTTGCTTGACTGGGAAACAAGCTTCCTGCTTATAGGTGATGACCTGGGATATACAGGGGATATAGTGGTTGAGGTGGAGCAAAGGGGGACAGGCCATCTGACAGAAGCTTCAAGTAGGTGGGGAGGAGCCATGAGTGCTGCTGCCATCTGGCTGGTCTCTCATGCTCCCAATGAAGTAAGGAGTGCTGTGTGTTTTGGCTGCTGCTGCAGAGACCACTTCTGCCCTTCCTGACAGCACCTGCTTGACCTCTTGGTTTCTTGTTAGCATCTCGCCGGGAAAGCCAGGAGAGTATGCATCCATATCATTTGGTTTCAGTAGCCCTGCTAACAGGGCCAGGAGACAGGATGGACACTCCTACCGACCACATTAATGGCCCTTTCTGTCTCAGTGATGAAGGGGTTGTGCCGGCTTTTCTGAAGGCAGGTTGACTTGTTTGAATATGAAGGTTCTACAGAAAGGCAGTTCAGGGGTCAGGATCACTTCCTTTTGTAACCTGCAGGTGCCAGCATCTGGGTTCTGCTCTAGCCTTATATTGGGAGAGCCTAAACTCATGGTCGATGATACCAGCACACTACACCACTCAAGCACCCTGCCTCGGGGGCTCTCTAGTCCTCATGACTTCAGGAGGATCTACCTGTGGGGACTAGGGGCATAAGCATCCTGACCTTTGGTCAGCTAGCAAGGACACAGGGTACAATGGTGATAGACTCCTGTTTCTTTTTCTTTTTTTCCATATTTGCATGTTAGGAAAAGGTAGATGGGACTCCATTAGCAGGATGTAGTTCCTTGCTGAGCGGGTTGCAGCTGAGGAAAGGGGTAAGGTTGTGGGAGGGTTGGTAAGAGGTTCTAACACGAGAAGCTTGCTCTAGCCCCTCCTATAGGACAGCTTCTAGAGATAAGCCACGTGTGTGAGGAGCTTGCAGACCCTCGTGTGTTTCTTTGGGGGTCTTGACCAGCATGTAGCCTAGGCTGGTCTCCAGGTACTGGGTCACAGATGTGTCACTACATCTGATCCCTGTTTGTATTTCTTGTGCTTAGCATCTGTGCACAGGACCCTGGCGGAAGTGCGGTGCGCTGAGCGGCCTTGTACTTGTACTCTTGGCTCTGCACGCTTCACTTCCCTCCCTTCCCCAGCGCCATTATGTTTTTCATGAAGTGTAGCTTCCAGAATTATGCACAACATACTTTATTTACCTCATCCATTCATTCCACCCATTTACTGTTGACTCATTCAGCTAATTATAATTGTGTGTTCATTACTGTGAAGTGCCAGGTGCTGAGCGGGAGCTGGGGATAGAGCTGGGGATGGAGCTGGGGATGGAGCTAGGGAAGGTGTCCAGAGGCTCCCTTTACTGAGGGAGAGCAGGCTTTAAGGTCGTGTCTTCTGGGAGTGGTAAACATCTGCCACTTGGGTGTCCTGGCATGAAGCCATGGATCTGAGAGCCCCTGCCCTCTCTACAGGTAGCCCTGCAAGCATACATGTTAACCACTCTCTTCCTTAGACTAAGGACCCTGGAGACACTGCTTCCTTTCTGCTCAGGAAATAAGCAGTAGAGTTTTGGCCAAGAAGGAGGCCATTCTCTATCCACAGTGTTGTCCAGTACAGTATCCATTCCCTCCTCTGTCTTCTGTGACTGGTCTTTGCATTTTCTGCCTTGAATAGATAATCTTCCAGAAAATAGGAGTTATTAAAAATTATAAGGTATAAATGTCAGGATCCCAAACTACCTAGGCCTACTAGCTAGCCCTTGTGGTCTTTAGCAGGAAGGGTTTCAACATCCACTGAAGGTAGGAGTAAGCCCTAGGGAAGGATTGCTCTTCGGTTGCAGAAGTCAAGTCTGCAAGCATGCTCAGTGCCATGGTGGTGGGCAGGCGCGGCTGCTCCTCTTTGTTTCCTAGCTTGTGTATATTGCATAATATCAGTGAGTTAGCAAGACTATGAAGACAGTGCATGAAATTCCCGGGGAGGAGAGTCAGCGAGTTAGCAAGACTGTCAAGACAGTGCATGAGATTCCCAAGTTTTGTGTTCTCTGTTCTGGCTGTTCAGAAAGTGTTTTCAGTAATTTCATAATGAGAAGAAAGCATTATTTTTTAATCTCAGAATAAGATAATTTGGTTGTGACTTCAAGATTCTTCTGTCCACTTGCTCCTCCTCGAGCCTGGCGATTTCTTAGACCATGTTGTCTGTCCTTGTGCTCGACCTTCAAGATACACAGGTCCATTGCAAGAGTTGCTACACTGTGGTTTGTAGCATCCCTTCTGGACTCTTGAGTGTTGAGTGCTCATGCAGCCGGCTTCTGGGGAGAGCTGCGCTTGTTCTACTGTTCCTTGATCTCATGGTGCTAGTATACACATGCGACAGGGTGTTGTAAGCGTGGAAGGCTGTGATTCGGAGCAGCAGGATCTCTAGGACAGGGTGTGCATGTGTTTCTTGCCTAGGTCAGGAACTTGTTTGCAGTGGAGGCCAGTGCTGGATTGCTGCAAGCACTGCCACGGGCTCAGGATCCGGGCTCTGAGGTAGGACCAGGTCCTCTGTGGTTCTTGGAGGACAACCCCAAGTCAGAGACAGAAGAACTCTTAAATCCTTAGTCCTCGAATGTGCAGCTTGTAAAGCATTTTTTTTCCTGTTTAAAAATATATAGAAAGGGCTCCAAAGCTACAAAGAAATCCTGTCTCAAAAAAAAAAAGATTTTTATTTTTTTAACTTCAGAAATACAAGTTTATTTAATAAATGCCCTGCTCATGTTGAGTTTTGGGATAGATGTGGAGAAGCATGGCTGTTGAAGTCTGTGGGAAGGACCGCAGCCCGGGGAGCACCGGCTGCTCAGCTCAGCACCCAGCACAGTGGGAAGGGGAGGGTGTCGGGGAAGTTGAACGGAGCTTATTTATTTTCATGTTCCTGTTTGTTCCCATTTCACATGGTTGACATTATCTTCAGTTGTTTTCCCCTCACAGAACACATGTTCTTTTTCCGCAGTACACACTGATATGCATTACAGACCTGTACCGATAAGAGACATGGAATGTTTCTTCTCTGTAGGACAGGCTTTCTGCTACGATGAGCTATGGCCACAGACTCTATCAGGGACAGATAATTGGCCACATGCAAGCCCAAGTCCTGGTACAGCTGCTGTGCAGACCGGCACCCATTCCTCCTGAGGTCTCCTAGTTTGTCAGCTTCCCTAGGACTCACAAGAGATGTTCTGACTTCAGTCTTGATGTACGCTGGATGGGGACACTTCATGAAAGAGCTGCTTAAAGCAGTGCGGTCCGCTTCAGCTGGATGTTCAGATGTGGTCTGTGACCTTATTTCAGATGATGCTAGTGAGAGTCCAGGTGAATTTAAAGATGCCATCTCTCTGCATCTTCCAGTTTAACATGCATTTGTAAACAGTGAAAACAGTGCAGCCTGTTTTGTTGATACTATCTGTATTGTGACACACACGGGGACAATGCAGACCGGACATGAGCTCTATGGCTCAATAGTAGATGCTGTGGCAATTTCAAGTTGTGCTTTGTGTGATGTTCTGGAATTGAGCTTAGGGTCCACCCCTTGTGGAGTGAAGCTGTCAGGATCTGCTAAACACACACACAGACATACACACAGACACAGACATACACACACACACAGCAGGCCAATCAAGGATGTTCTTGGTGGCTGTGGAGTGGAAATGTTTCCACGGTGGTTAGCAAGACTAGCCTGGTCAGACTGGTACTTGAGTGCCCCTCCAGTCCCTGTGTAGATGCCACAAGAAGAGCCCAAGCCCTGGCCCTCCTTTGCTGTCTTAAGTGTAGCAGCCCTTTGTGCTGGCTGGTTTGCTTAGTCAACTGCAGTTGTATTGCATGGGTTGCTAAGAGTGAGCTTGTGGGGCCGGGTGGGGATTCTGGAACCAGCTGGCCATGTTTTAGTCTGTCACAGTAGCATGGTGCCTTAAGGCAGGCTGTTTAACTTTTCTGAGTTTCAATTCTGTGTTTATGATTGAAATAATGGTCCTCAGCTCACCTAGTTTTTGTGAGGATTAAAATAATAAATTAGTGAAGGCTTAAGGTGGCTGAGGACTGCCACCAGGACCTGCGGTCAGCGGCACATGTTTGAAGGGCACACCATTAGCTCAGGTACAGATGGAACTTGGGCCTGCTGTGGTGACGTGGACAGTGGTCAAAATCCCCAGGCCTTGGGTCCATTTCTGTCATCATGGCCCTTGTTGGATGCTGGGGCAGGTGGAGGCCAGGCTACTAGAAGTGTGTGCAGTGCTGAAGATGACAGTTGGAGTGTGAGCTGGTACTTAGGGATCATAGGCTTATTCCTTGGAGAGATTTTAAGGTTGTGTGTGTGTGTATTAGTTTTCCCTTCATTTTTGGGAATTGTTAGGTAAGCAAATATGAATTTGACAAATGCTTGAAAAACAAACACATGTGATTGCAAGGAAGGAGGGTGGTGGGCGTTGCTCATCCAGTGCCTCAGTGTGCCCAGAAAGCTCGCAGAGTGGACGGTGCCTCTTGGCCACTGTCCTTTGGTTATCATTTGGGTCTTTTGAATTAGTATTTAAAAATTCTGTGCTTTGCAGGACCTCTAGATCCTTTCAGATCCATTCATTGCCCCAGGCAAAATAAATAAATAACCAGGCCAGCCTGTGATTTCCCTCCCACTTGCTGGAATTTCAAATTTAAACAACAAAAGCTATCTGTCATTTCAAAGTGAGGTAAGTACTGCCAGTGGACATGCAGCTGAAGCAAAGCAATGGTTGTGTGCCGATGGTGCTGCTGAGACTGGAGGATGGCTGTGGTCCACACAGTCTAGTTAACCCTTTGAGCAGCTCTTGGACACATGTTAGCGTGGGGCTTGTGCTCTTGTGACTGAGGTCACGGACCCGCCTGATTTCAGCAGCAGACCCGTTGCTGTCTCACCCAGCACACTCCCGCTCGCTCCTGCTGCCCTGGCTTTAGAGCTTGTTCAAGAGCGCTTTCCGTATGGAGCTGGGTTTCTGATGTTTTCATTACATTTCTGTAGCCAAATCAAGTCAAAGGCGTGTCCACAAGAATGTCCAAGGAAGTTAAGAACTGGTGCAAGAAAAGATAGGAGTGGAGTTGAGACCCTAGTGTGACAGAGGCAAGCTTGTAACACAGGCACGTCATTTCCCCAGCCTTTCCACACCCTTTCAGGGACAGTAGGGGATCCATGTCCTCACTGACCTCTGACCGTCTCTCAATGTTCGTCATTCTTTGTAGCTGGCTGATGACCGCATGGCACTGGTGTCAGGCATCAGCCTAGATCCAGAAGCAGCGATTGGTGTGACAAAGCGGTCACCTCCCCAATGGGTGGACGGAGTAGATGAAGTAAGTGAAAGGATAGCTCCAGGTATTCTGTTTGCTTGTTTGCTTGTTAAGTCTGGGTAGTGACATGGCTTCAAGTGTCTACCGAATGGTTCAGTTTGGCTCCAGATATAGTTGTATCCTCAGACACGCTCACATGTTGAATTTATTCATTGATATACCACACAATAGAGTAAGAGTGTGTCTGTCTGTCTGTCTGTCTGTCTAGATGGTGTGGGCTTAACATTAGCAGCAACTACTTGATTTATAGAAAGAAATGAAAAATCATGGAATAAGGAAATTGTCTGCTAGTTTGTTTTAGATGTATGTATGTATTTATTTATTTATTTAATTTACTAACCTTGATTTTTTGAGGCAGGGTTTCTCTGTATAGCCCTGGCTGTCCTAGAACTTACTCTGTAGACCACGTTGGCCCTGAATTCAGAGATTTGCTTTCTTTTCCCTCCTGAGTACTGGGATTAAAGGCATGCAACACTGCCCCATCTGGCTAATTTTATTTTATAGGTGATAGTGTTTTTGCCTGCATGTATGTGTGTACCAGGTGTGCACCTGTGGAGATAATAGAAGGACATCGGAGCCCCTGGCACTGCAGTTGCACAGATAACTGTAAACCAGCATGTAGGTGCTGGACTGAACCCAGTCTTCTACCATAACAACAAGTGCCCTTAACCACCCAGCTTCTTCTCAGCTTTTTTTTTTCTTTTTTCTTTCTTTCTTTCTTTCTTTCTTTCTTTCTTTCTTTTTTTTTTTTTTTTTTTTTTTTTTTTTTTGCAACTTGAATTTAAAAACTTATTTGTGTGTCAGTAAGCCATCAAATTCAGCTGAACTCAGTCTGGTGCAGTTCATTATCTTGAATGCAGGCTATCTGCTAGACATGAGCGGGATTCTTGTGACTTCGCTTGTTTAGGTACAGTATGATGTTGGCCGCATAAAACAGAAGATGAAGGAGTTAGCCAGCCTTCACGACAAGCATCTGAATAGGCCCACCTTGGATGACAGCAGCGAGGAAGAGCATGCCATCGAGATAACCACCCAAGAGATCACACAGGTGAGGGCACCTCCAGCGCCACAGACCCCTATTATAAACCCAGCAGGTGATGTCCTGGGGTTTTATATTCCTGCTGGAAGCCCTCACAGGGACTATGAGTTGCCAGCATGTGCGTGGTTTTCTTGGAGGTCTGGGCACTATTTTTCGGTTGTTGGTAGATCCCACTGTGTTTGAGAATGTAAAACTCGATGCAGCATAGTAATGCATTTGATCATTTGATGTTAGAGTGTGTAATTGCTGTCTCACACCAGGACTTGCAATTTTATGCTAAAGCACAGCTCTGTAAGAAGACATCCTGGGGATTTTATTGGAAACACTGTTTAACCTTTAGGTGGTGTGACTCTGTGTTTAATTCGCCTTCTTACTCTGAGAGTAGACATCCAAATGTCTGCAGCCTGCTCTGAAGCCAAGTCACCAAGACGATTTCTCCCTCAGTCTCTGACTCTGCCCTCCCCTGTGGGCATAGAAACCACACTGGTCCCTGCCTTGTGCTCCTCCTGTAGGAAGTGAAGGAATGGTCGGGTATACAGTGAGTGACAGGGCGTGGAGTGAGCAGATTGGGGCTCACCATAAACATCGTATAAACAGTCTACAGTGTGTGTACATAAAACCTCTAGCCAGCCCTACACACACACACACACACACACACACACACACACACACACACCTACCTACCTACCTTACCCAACCCTTCATATCAGTCTGCAGAGCAAGGTGCCTCCTGGCAGAGGCCTTGGCGAGGAGAGGCCTCTTGATGTAAGCCAGAGCTATTCTCTCAGCTCTTTCATAGGTGCCAGCGTGCTGTGCAGGCCCTGCCCAGCCAGGCGAGAAGGGCCTGCTCCGAGCAGGAGGAGCGGCTGCTGCGGAACGTGGTGGCCTCCTTGGCACAGGCCCTGCAGGAGCTGTCCACCAGCTTCCGGCATGCACAGTCCGGCTACCTGAAACGTGAGTGCTGCCGGCCCTGGTTGAGGGACTCTTGAGTAGGGCTGTTCTCTGTCCAGCTCTTGCCTGTCATTGTTAACAGCTAGTCAGGTACATTGACAGCTTTTCAGCAGAGGAAGCTGCTGCCCTGGGAGACCCCTGCTGAGGAGGAAAGGCCTGGCTCCTGGTGCGGTGCTAGAGACAGTTCGTGCCCAGCCAGCCGGCCCTGGCTGTCTGCAGACTTGGAAAGCCACAGCATATTTAGGGAGAAACACTTGTTGCGGTGTGATGGTGAGCTTTGGAGTTCTGAGGACACACGTGTAAGAGCCAGTTCCTCCTCACAGGGACATCTACATAGCCCTGGAGCTTGAAAGTAGGGTGTAAACACCCTGTTGCTGGGTTTTTCTGTATTGTCATTGTAGTGGGTAAAACCCCGCTTACTCCAGAGACCCTGCCCCTCCACAGCCTACACATCTGTTTTGATTTTGACCCCTCCCCTCAGAATCTGACCACAGCGCTTACTAAAGATCTTCCAGGTGAGAATATTGGCTTTGTGTTAGTGTGTTATAAGATCAGTTAGAATAACTATTTCTGTTTTGCTTAGAGAGTCTCAGATGGTTGTATACTGTCTGTCTTGGCATCCAGTGAGTCGGGCATTTAGAGAGTGGCTGCCCAAGTACCCCGAACACTTGCATGCTGTTGCAGTGCTTTAACACAAGGGCCCCCTGGAGGTGGGCTTCTTCAGACCTGTTTGGGGGCCTCCCCTTGCTGCTGGCTTTTACTCTTTAATGGTGGAGCAGTAGTCATATGCATCCAAGTAAAGTGGGCTCCTGTCTGGTAGGCATGAAGAACCGAGAGGAGCGGTCCCAGCATTTCTTCGACACGTCAGTGCCACTGGTGGATGACGGAGACGATGCTGTCCTGTATGGTCAGGTCTGTGATGAAACCCGCATCTGCCCCCTCTTTTCCTAAGTTCCTTGCTCCTGTGCAGTCTAGGGGTAGGGAGTGCTGCTGTCTTGTCTACCACAGGCAAGAATAGCCATGCTGAGTTTTCTTCCCAGTTGTCACAGGGAGGCCTAGAGTGTGCTTCCCACACCCCGGGACAGGGACACAGACCCGTCCTCAGGCTCCATGTGGCTACACACTGTGCTGTCTGTCCTGTCAAGGAAGTAACTTACCTGTTGCCAAATGCTTTATAAAACATTTTCAGAATTTGTTTTCCGTAAATGTTGTCTGAACTGGCTTGCCACAGCTTTCCTAGCAGGGAGACTCTTGTGTGGACAGGGTTTCACGGATGAGCAGCTGGTCCTGGTAGAGCAGAACACACTGATGGTGGTGGAGAGGGAGCGGGAGATCCGTCAGATCGTGCAGTCCATTGCCGACCTCAGTGAGATCTTCAGGGACTTGGGAGCCATGATTGTGGAGCAGGTGTGTGTCCTTTGTCCTTTCACTCCAGTTGGGAAAACATTCAAACGTGTGTTCCTCACACTGCATGTGTTTGGGGGACTCTGTTTTCGGGTACTGTGGGCTTTTGTCATTCCCTGTGAAAATGCCATTTTTTTTAATCTAGAAGAAAAAATGAATAGAAATTCTAATGCTTTTCTGCTTTGCCCCAAAGATATTCATATGCATGCATCCTTTGGAGGCTCGGTGGACTCTGACCAAGCCTAGCCTAATTCTGCCATTGTACAAGATTCCCTTCTGACAGTGCAGATTGTTGTGTAATGGCTGTTGGAACCACCAGCTTTTAAGTAGAATTAAATCGTTGTTCATTGTTACAATCTGATTAGGGCGTTTTATTATCTTGCCAGCAGGGATTTGTTTGGGTCCTGGTCCCCTGAAACCAACTACAGAGTAGAGCATTTGAGGCCCTATCAGAGCCGGCTGGTTAACTGCTGTGTTTCCCTGTGAATTGCCATCTTTTTTTCATGCTTCCTCTCAGAACCAAGAGACTGTTTAATAATCTGTCCTTGAGATCCACGCTGTCATTTCAGATGGTGATTGGAGCAGCCTGGCTATGGGGGAGAACCTAGCTGGTAGTCTCCATCCACCAGGCCCCAGTATCTGAGCAGCAAGAGTGGAAACCCATGGCCCTTTGCTTCCAAGAGCCCATTTCTCTGAAACAGGTCTCTAAGCCCTAGTACATCTGAAGGTGGTATTTCTATAGGAGCTGCATCAAAAACAGAAATCTATGTGGTTCTTGCTGAAGCTGACACAGCACTCTCTACAGAGTGCCTGGCACTACTCAGGAGTGAGTCCTGAGGTCTGTGACACATGCATGTCTCAGGGCTTGAAGTTTAGTCTCCCTAGCTGTAACTGACCGTCTCTACTGTCTCTTATTACTCAGGGTACAGTCCTTGACAGAATTGACTATAATGTTGAACAGTCCTGTGTCAAGACTGAAGATGGCTTGAAACAGCTTCACAAGGTACCAAAGTTCTCTATGCTGGGTCTTAGGAACTGTTATCAAATCCTGGGGATTCCTAGGAAGATCTCTTCTGTCGCAGATGCTCAGCCCAGCACACAACGGGGTAGAGATGGGAGCTGATGTCATGCTGCAGCTTGGTTGTTGGGCAGGCCTCATCAAGAGGCCAGACAAGCAGGGGTCCTGTGGGCCTGGAGTCTTCCTTCCTGCTTCCCATCTTTCCAAGTTTTGTTAGAGAAGTCAGTTGATTGGCCTCTCTTGGTGTGGGCTGAGAAGCCATCTGCTTGTTGCTGGTAACCTATTGGTTGTTGGGGTTCACCTCTGACAACTTACTGGTGAAAGACTCTCAACAAGGAAAGAAATCTAATTACCCCTTCCTGTGTCACCTCCAGGGAAGTTTGTAGACGTAGGGTGGGCTGTGCTCTTGCTGTCAAGGGAGCTCTATTGTGGGGTTTGCGTGTTTGTTAAATTTCTTTTTAAGAATTGGGTGAAAATCATTTTAAAAATCCTACAGTCAGTTATGAGAAATGGACTCATGAACACCAAGGTCATGTGTGCGGTTGGGTACGGGCCTCTTGTGAGGGGAATGCAGCCGGCTCTCCTAACAGATCACTTGTCCCTGATGCCCACTGGGCCTCTGACCATGTGGTGAGCATCGCCCCAAGTCATGTTCTTCTGAAAGTGGAAAGCACCCTGTCTCATCGTGGCTCCAGGTTGCAGGGTCTGATCAGAAGCCCTGTGCTGCACCTCCCAGGCTAGGGACAGGTCTTGCTTAGTGGGTGTTTGGAGTAATGGAGGCATCAGCCTTGTCTCACAAGCAGGAGCTCCCTGAGATTCTCACTCCATAGTGGGTTTGAGGTGCTGCTAGGTTACCTGTCAACCCTGGAGTTTCCTAGGGAATATGCTTTGTGCTGTGATGCAGACCCAGGGGGAGGGGCGTCTTCTCCATGGGAGACTGGGTCTGACAGAAGCTGTGACTTTTCTTTTAGTCTGGAGTATTAGAGTTTTCCCAGTGTGTGGTCTGCATTGGCTCCTTGGTTCTTGGGGTTGCTCTGAGGAATGGGCCTGTCCTCAGCCCACACTGAGGGGAGGGAGCTGAGACTTGGGAGGTGCTCCCATTGGCCAGTTTCAAGGTAGTCTCCTGTGCTGTTTCTAGGTGAGGAGGAACTTCTCTGGGTGAGTGGTAGATTCCCTAAGGATGCTAAGCTACAGTCTCATCAGTCTTTGAGCATGCTCTCCTTCTGTGGGGATCTGTGTCAGTCATCAGCCATGTGAAGGACACATTGATGGGGGAGAGGAGTACAGGAGGCAGTGACCCCAATGCTTCTGTAGGAGAGAGGGGTGCAGTGGGCATTGACTTTGGGCACTGCATAGAGGGGGAGGTTGCAGGTGGGGCTTTGGGAGCTCGTCCGTGTGCCATCAGTCATGGGTAAGGATGGGATTGGTCCTCAGGTGTCTCTTAAACCAACAGAAATGGGCACATTCACCATTTCTTCCTCAGATGATGAGGTATTCTCTTTCCAAATTCAGAGGAAGTAGCGACAGGGCCTCTTGGGGCTACTGGTTCCGTGCTTCCTGGTCACCCTTTCCTGTCCAGGGAAGAAAGATAGTGTCCATTCGTCCTGGGAGTGGGGACCTTCCTGAGAAGCCAGAGTAGGAAGAAGCAGGCCGAGCTGAGCTTGGTTTTCTTGGCTTCTGTCCTCACAGCAGATCTGAATGTTCATTCACACTGAGGGAGGGCCACCCTGCAGGGCCCAGGCTGGTGTGAGGTCTATGGGGAAATGATGCCTTCCCTCCTCTTTTGTAGGCAGAGCAGTACCAAAAGAAGAACCGGAAGATGCTTGTGATCTTGATCCTGGTTGTCATCATCGTAGTCCTCACCGTGGTCCTCATCGGCGTAAAGTCTCGCTAGTGGCGCCAAGTTCTGGAGCGTGCTACTGCATGGGTTCCTGGGGTAGGAGGGCTTGGCTGGCACCACTTCACTGTACTGCCTACAGAGCACAGCCCACTGGCCCAACAGCGGGCTGCGGGCCTTCCTGTGGATGCCCTCTCTTGGTGGACTGGAGTGCAGGCATGGCTGTGGGTTTCCATCTCTGTCCAGGGTTTAAGGACCTGAGGCTGTTGCTGAAGAGACTGGCCCTGTGGCCAGCTGTGATCTAAACACTTACTAGAAAGTGAGGGAACGCAGGTTTGCAGGCCTTGCTGAGGCTCCAGTGTGGTGTGCATGTGCTTATTGCTAGCGCTCACGTCTGAGCAGCATGTTCAATAATTTTTCAGAAATTTTTTTTTTTAGCCATCTGGTTTTTAAGAAGTTTGGTACCAAAAATTTATGAGTAGAGGCAAACTGCCTCTTCATCTTCCCAGCTGAAAACAAACCAAGACGTCCTTCAAGAATTTATAATCCATTCCCCATTAACTTAATTTAGCTTTTCCATCACTGTTAACGATCAGAGTAACAAAGTGTGAAAAATAAGAAACCATCATTGATGTTAATTAACACATTTAGACGGGCCAGTTAAACCAGCTTCATGCGTTTAAATCAATTGTAAATAGCGTATTCCTCATTCAGAATTTTGCACTACATTTTCTGCTGTAAACCAAGAGGGGTTACTAAGCAAAACCTCCTGAATCAGAGAGTTGGTCATTTGAACTGACCTCACATTACAAGAAAACTTGACGGTATCACGAACTAGATTGAGCCATGTGTCCCCAGCCATTCTTCCTCAGTCTATCACTTACATTCTAGCTACGTAATCACCTGTCCAAACCTGACTCCACTTAGTGAGCTGTAAATTACACAGAGGCCGTTTTAGATGGGCCACTCCATTTAGGATTAGTGGATCTCAAATTATTAGCCAAACATCACTCCATTTCAAAGTAAAATATTCTACCCATGATTTGATTTATCGACTCTTCCATTGCCACTTAACAATGCCCAGAAAGCAGGTATTCCTGAGGACAGTGAGAGCCTCAACTAAGGAAGCCCTCTGTGTGTACTTGCTGTGTGTGTATGTGTATGTGCCTACGTGTGTACCACATGCATATCAGATCACTAGAGTAAGGTTCTGTTTACTTCTGTTTATCTACCGGTTAACTCTGGTGCTTGGGTGCTTGGCAGGACTGGAGTGATGTGGGCAGTGTTGGAGTCTGAAGATGAGGGTGTGTGTCTGACTTGCCATCTTCATTGATGCTGCTATACTTTTAGTGGTCTTTGTGTCATTTTCGATAGCTTTTAAAATTGTCTCTGCTTCTCTTACGTTATTTAAGAATATGGTCCTGTTGAGTGTGTGTGTAGACAAATGTGTGTATTTACAGATTCACTGCAGGGGGAGTTCAGAACTCCAGCTCGTGCAGAGCTACCCTGAGCTCAGCCTCCCTGCTCAGGCTGTGGGACACTGGGGTCCAAAGGTTTACCAGACCCCTTGACGATATTAGTAGGGAGGGCTGGAAGGGGAGTTAGCACCTACTCCATCATTTTAGGATTGGGAAAGGGGGGTCCTACAGGCCTCTTTTCCTGATTTCTGAGGTTAGACAAACTGCTCCTGGATGGACTGGTCAAATTAAGGGACCTGCTTTAAGCAATCTGTGGAGGCCACGCCGAGTAATTATGAAAGCCTTGAAGAAAAGTGACCTTTTAAAAAAGGATCACCATTTATTTATATTTATTTTCCTAAGTAGGTTTTTTTTTGTTTTGTTTTGGTGGGGGGACCCTTCTGGGTAACCTAACAGGTCTGGTTAGAAATTGTCCTAAGGACCTGTGGGAAGAGGGGCTGTCCCCTTGTGCTTGAAGACAGTATGGTTCTGATATGGGCCCAGCTACCCTGATGGCCATCCTTGGGGGGCATGGACAGGCCTGGCTTGTAGCTAGATCCACAGCCGTGTGTGCTAGCTCTTTGGGGTCCCTCCCCATTGCACTTTTCCATTGGGGGAAGATGAGAAACGTGTGAGGACACGAGGGCTTAGTGCCAGGGTGCTGGTAGGGACCTCAGGGTAACTGAGCTGAAGAGGACTCGTCTATCTGCCGACAGCCACTCTCTGTGGGCTCGTCCTGCCCTTCAGTCTGGCTGTGGAGGTGACAATCACATCTCTCCCTGTGCCTGGGAAGTGCCCTGGGGAAGAAGCCCAAGCCCTGGATACTACCTTCTTCCATGGTCCTCGGTGACTCCTGTAGAGTGGCGGGAAGGAAGGGGACAAGTGCTGGGCCTTTGGGGCCCCTGATCTTTCCTAAGACTCGCCTAAAACTGCTCTCTGTCTTTTGGGGCCGGGAAGGGGGTTGGGGTGCTAGCTGGGCCACTGTGTGAAGCAGTGTGTGTCTAATTTAACGGATGTACCGCTTTCTCTGCTAATTGAGAGAGCATTATTTATTTGTTTTGACACAAGTGCTTGCAGTGTTTCATCCCAGCTAATGGCTTCTTAAAGGTAATAAAACCCTCCAACCTAATTGGCCAGATAAGACTTTTTTCCTTGTGTGCTTAAATAAAGCAATTAGTGAAGCGCTTCTATCCAAAATGACTTTTTTTTGTCCTGACTAATTTACTGTTACTGGAAACTTTGTACAATAAAGCGATCTTGCAGACTGAAGAGCATCCCACATTCCTATATTAATGTTAATGATGGTCACACTCTGTCCCCATGTGTCTGTGTTAGCAGGGGCCTGGCCCCTGGGGTCTCTGGGTCCGTGGCTATTTATTTCATGCCCGAGGCCTCTGCCTCTGTTTAAAAGTCAGTTTGTCTATCTAACGGAGGCCTGCAGAGGGACCAATCAATTTGCTATCCAATATACAAAAAGGGAAACCACATAAAAGACATAATTATTTTTCTTTATGAAAACACACTTTATGTGAGCATGTTTGGCAGTCCTCGGAGTGTGCCCAAAGTGGTTTGCACGTGCAGGCTCTAGGACCATGCGTTGACAAATGCCTTCCTCCAGAATGGAATGACAAACTTAAGGAACAATGTCTGCTAGGAATGTCCAGGTCTTCTTCCAAGGCCAGAGCAGAATGTTGATGCTCATTTGCATGTGTACCTGGGAGACAGACATGATGGAGGGCCAGAGTTGGGTGACTCTCACTGCCAGTGAGTCCTGTCAGACAGGTGGTCAGTCTTGAGTGCTCCCCAGAGAGCTTGCTGAGCCACAGATGGTGTCCTGCACTCTGTTGTGTGGTCCCTTCCTTCTCATCAACCATTAGCGAGCCCAGAAGTCACTCACTCTCAAAGGACAGCCATCGTCCCATGGTGGTGATGCTCGGTCTCTACGTCCTGCTGTGGGACGGCTTGTAAACGGAGAGGCTGGCAGCTGCATGGGGATGGTGTGTTTTCTGAGACAGGGTCTATGTAGCCAGGTTGCCCTTGAACTTGTGACCTTGTCTTTACCTCCCACGTGTTGGGATTATGGCAGACAAGTGCAGGGCTGTGGTGGCTCTAGAAGGGGAGCACAGTTACATTTGCAATGGGGTCTTCGGTGATCTGGGCTTCGAGTGGTCACACCGGAGTGCGCACATACCGTTCACTAATTATCAGTGGACATCGCCGTTACACAGACTGCTCTGAAACTTGGGCATTAGGTCAGGGTTGGTGGGCATTTGGCCTGTGTGACCCTTTGAGTCTCATTTTGCCTGTCAGAGGACTGGATGTATGTGGATTCACTCTGCTAATCGTGGTGAACATCATCTGTGAAATGAGAGCAGCCTTCCTTATCTGTCTGCCATTGCGAGGTCATAGGCAGCCCACCCATCTGCCCAAAGATGTACGTGAATGCCGTGGCAGAGCAGGCCAACTGTGAGCCTCCTTGCTTTGATGGTCAGGATCCCTTCTATCTCTGCCACATGGGGACTATGTGAAGAAACCTTTTCATGGTGAGCTGCCATTAGGTAGATAAAGGGCCAGCGGCATCTGTGGTTGTACAGTAGGGTGTAATTTCTTCTAAGGAGGCAGCGCTGGTCCATCTGATGTGTATTTGGGAGCTTAGCTCTGCTCAGAGCCTGATGTGTGGGTCTCAGTTGTATATTTCTGTGTTTATTGGCCCTTTGAAACCTCTGGTTTTTCTCTGCATTCTCTCGACCACCCACACAGCACCTTGCACCTTGTGTCTGATGTTTTCGCGTAGTTGTTTTGTACTGAAGGAAAGCAGACCCTGCAAGCTGACGGGTGTCAGAACAGCTAATGAGGGCACCGGCGGACATGTCAACAGCTTGTGTAGAAGTGCTTCCTATCCGGGGCTCAGAATTAGACTGAGGGACGCCAGCTGTGTGCATCTTGTCCCCAACTCCATACCACCCTCAGACAGGCTAAACCCGGCAATGTTGGGTTTTCTTACCACATCAAGGGGCCTTCCACAGAGCCAAATGGCAGAGACTCGTGCACAATTATCTGGCCAATTGAGGCAAAAGAAAATAATCATTTGTCCAATTGTGCAAATGAGCTCTCTGGACTGTCCTGAATGCTGCGATAATTGTGTGGTCCTCCACTTTCCATCCCATAATCTGGCAAAAATGGGCTATTTAAACAAGGCTCCATTTGATAATGCACATTCAAATCAGGCTTCGGTAAAGCACACCACTGGGTTTAGCATTTTCTGTTTGTCAACTATAATTCTATAATTGCTTTAAGCTAACCATCCAAATTCCACCATTAGTAATCACTGTTTCTCATTTACAGATGTGATAGAGGCCAAGGGCCCTGTTTGTATCATTTGATCTCCTCCCAGGAAGTGCTGAGGGAATCAAATGCTTGTTTTTTTAACTTCACGTTCTGACCCAGGGCATCAGACCTCTGTGCCTTCCCCTTTCCCAGATGGGGAAACTGAGACCCATACCAGGATGTGCCATGGTCACAAGGCTGACGTAGCTCAGACCTGGAATTGTCAGCCCCCTCATTTCTAGACCAGCGCTCTGTTTTAATTGTTCATTTCTTTCCATAAAATTAAATGACCTTCTTCAAGAAAGATTTAATGGTCAAGATGTGATTTGGTAAAAGCTTCCTCCAGGGTTTTTTCTTATTACAGAGATGATGCCAGGCTGCAGCTAAGAGAGACTCGCAGACAGTGGTGAGCCATTATCCCCAGTTGAGCTCTGTGTAATTGGTGCGAAGAGATTGCGGCTGACGAATCAGCCTGCTGCTGAACAGAGAGTGATTGTGTGCTGGCGGGCCCAGTGGCTGTACATGTGAGCTCGCAGTTGTTTACAAAAGGTATATGTGTGCATAGAATGCTCACGGAGATGGATAATGTCATTTTAAAGTTGTAAATAATAAAAAATAGTCTCGGGTAGACCTGATTTTACAATTGCCTGAGAATGTGGTACTTCATTTCAACACTATGCGATGGCTAGAAATTGATTTTTTTTTAAAATCCAATTAAGCCTCAAGGTTGGTTATCCATTTAAAAGGTCGGATGAGTTGAACAGTGACAGTACCTTCGGTTCATGCTAATAATTAGATTTACACAGAGCTCCAGCCCTCATCTCTGCCTCATGGAGGCTTATGTTTTCTGTCTGCACAGCTCCCAGCTGTCCAAGCCCCCAGCCAATAGTACAGACAAACCAGCAGAGCAGGGACCCAGACCTCCTGAGTCCCCAACTGGTAACTGACCCAAGCTTTCAGAATCCTCCCTAAAGATTGTGTGTGGGTCACAGCACCTGGATGCCCCCTCTTTTGTAGCCCTGGGAGTCCTGGGAGATGGGAAGTCGCATCTCATTTGAAGATTTGGTGCTGTCCAGTTTCATGTGCAGATTAATTCAATGCAACAAATAAATCCTGGTTTTAAAATGGCCCTTGTGGAGTGTGTACCTGTCACCCAGAGCGAAAGGCTTCAGAATGCCCTTTCAGAGTTCTCGTGGGTGATGTGGGAGGTGTCACTGTATCATGAAGATGTCGGGAAACCGTGAGACTGTGTGGAATGCTTTCTTCTGTGCGTGGGCTGGAGTGTCCACTCAAGCTTCCAGACTGCCGAGTTCTAGCATTCCACCCTGCACTGTAATGTGATGCATTTCAGTAAGCTCCACCCATAACCAAACCAGCCTGAAATGAGAGACTTCTAGAACTTTCCATCCATAACTATGAACTAGCCTGAAATAAGAGACCTTCCAAAACTTGCCGTTTTTAACTATGAACCATTCTGAAATGAGGGGCCTTCCAGAATGTCCACGCCATAGCTGTGAACCAGCCTTACATAAAGTCCCTTCCAGAATGTCCATTCTATAACTGAACCAGCCTTAAAGACCCTTCCAGAATGTCCATTCTGTAACTGAACCAGCCTTACATAAAGACCCTTCCAGAATGTCCATTCTATAACTGTGAACCAGCCTTACATAAAGACCCTTCCAGAATGTCCACTCTATAACTGAACCAACCTTACATAAAGGCCCTTCCAGAATGTCCATTCTATAACATATACATATACATAAATACACACACACATAAATAGCCTTACATAAAAATCTAGAATTTTCCATCCATAACTTTGAAACAGCTTAAAAATAAAGGACCTTCCAGATCCAGTGAGAAGAAAATATTGAATTTGCTTCCTATTGCTCACGGCTCCAGACAACAACAAAGAATTTCAGGTTAGCTCCTTGCCTCCCCCACCCTTTGCTCACACCACTCAATTGCCCAAATCCTCAGCAACAGATTTATGATTCTTTTTGAAAGGGCTGCATCGGAAAGCACAGATAGACGTATAATAAACACAAGGGTGTTTGTGAAGTAAATGTGACGCAGGTTGCAATGACTCATTTCAATACACTGGAGGAATCCGCCTTCTTACAGGATCCTGCCGGGGAAGGTTTTTCCTCAGGAAAAGATTTGATCAGAAGAAACATTCACCCCCATTTTGCTTTTCTCTAAGTCTCTCTGTTCACAGGTTGAGTTTGCTTAAGGGACTGTGGGACTGTGGTTGCTGTTAATCATCTCCTCTTCCTTCCTGCAACCTCCCCAGTCCCAAGGCTCTAGGTCTTCAATATGCCCTCGAAAACTTTTGCAACTACAGAAATAATTGTGCTGGTGTTCAGAGGTAAATAGGAATTGAGTTCCTGAGACATGAGGGTTATTGCTGCCTCGAGCTTGGAGCCTAATCAGGGACTAGCTCAGCCCCTCCTCTTCTCCAGAAGTCTCCAGACCTGGTGTCAGAGGACCAGGTTCAGCTTGTCAATCAATGGTCCCACTAGTCCGTCTACACACACGTTCTCTCTTGTGCTGCTGGTGGTGGAGAGTGAAGAGAGTCGAAGAGATGAGATTGCATGACCTGCCTTTCAAGCACGGCGCAAAGACTGTGTGGCACCTTTGTGTCAGATGCGTGGAGGTAGGAGCTATAAAGAAGAGGCAGGCGAGATAAACCAGAAACTAATGGAAACAGCTACCTGTGGGGGTACAGAGGTGATTTCTGGGGGATGAATAGAAGCAGGGACAGGAACAACCCCTTTCCAGCATTCCTTTTTACAGCTAGAATTTCTGAGCTGTATAAATGGTTCATGTATTCAGAAAATACAACAAGAAGCAAGAAGAGAAAACCTTCACCTGGACACAAACACAAACCTAAGTGCCTGTCACAGATAAACCACACAGAAATGAACCGACATGTTGGTGGGCATGCTGCAAGCATACAAAGAACAAAGAAATGGCAGGTGTGTGGTCAGGAATGGAGCCTGGTGCTGCTTGTGCTGGCTGGAGAGCAAATGATCATCCTTGGGAAGGTGGGTGGGTGGCAGGAAGAAGGCTGCAGAGGGCTCAGCATGGACGGCGTCTCCAAGTCCATGGTGTACAATGTTGGCTCATCTCAGCCCCCCCCCAAAAAGGACCAAAAGCCAGGACCCCATGGCAAGCAGTGATGGGGGATCCAGGGCACTCCTGCCTAACCAACCACTCCCAGTGCCCGCCAAAGGAGACACAGCGTCCTAGAGAAGTGGCTGGCTAGAATTTGGGCAAGAAGGAACAGAGTGAGCGAATCATTTTATAATCCCAGACCAAACAACAACAGCGAACACTTGTAAGAATGTGATAGTTACATGGACATATGAGCCAGCACTACAGGGCTGCTACTGATCACAGCAACTGTACTGAAGACAGGCAGGCAGGTACCTGTGAGTGTTCTTAAAGGCATGGATCAGGGTGCTGGCATCCTAGGGCCTCAGGCTTGGTTTAATTCCCTGCCTTGCTCCTTTTGGAGACAGAAATTCTGCATTTTCATTCTATATTGGATTTAAACGTTGTAGCCAGTCCCAGGGAGCGAGAAGGAGATCACTGCTCAGAAGTAGCTGGAAAGAACATCCTACAGGTTGAAGCCACAGGACCATTATTTGCACCTAGTGGAGGACAAGGGTTGGATCTTCTGACACTAAAGACACGGAGTTGGTATTCCCGGGACATCCCAGCAGCCCCAAAGTGTCCCTCCAGCCGTGGCAGGGGTCTCAGTTTCCCCACTAGGAAAAGAGAAAGGTTCTATCTAGTAGGGGAGATAGCCTCTGCCCCTCACAGCAGATGAAACAACCGTCTGTCCTGGTGCCCGGCTCAGAACACCGAATCAACAAAATAAGATCGCAGTTAGTTCCTTCTGTCTCTCCTGAGGAAACAAGAGCAACAGTGCAAGCCAGAGCCCTTTGCTGCTGTGCATATATTAAATGAGGGAAGTAGGGACTGGGAACGCGGCCCAGTTGGTAGAGTGCTTGCCTAGCATGCATGAAACCCTGAGCTTATTCCCAGCTGCTAGCCGCACACACCAGCAAGCCTAGACTTGAGGGGCAGAGGCAAGAGGATCTAAAGTTAAATATCAGCTTCAGGTACACGAGTTCAAGAGCATTGTAGGCTATATGAGTCCCTGTCTCAAAAAATTATTTTTTATAAAAACAAATGGCAGAAATGGTGGTTATGAATGGCAGAATTTGGTTTCTAAAGCAGGCATTGATTTTTAATTCTTTCATTTATAAAGGGGAACTATCTTCTTACTGTGAAGAGATCCCTCAGACCCCACTTAAACCAAATGTAAGCGGCACTTAGATCCTGTGCCGCCTCATGAGGGACAGTGCAAAGCATAATATAGATTGTTGCCAAACACTTTTAACCCAAATCAAATCGTGAGGAAGCAGACAAATGCAAACTTGGGGCTTTTACGTGACATGTCCGTGTTCTGAGAGGCAGAGGCGGGGATTATTCTGGATTCAGGGAGACTAGAGAACATGACAGCCAAATGGAACGCCTGATCCTCTCTTGGATTCTGGATTTTAAAGGCAGAAGCCACAGCGGATGTCTAAGGACAACGAGGACGACTCTCGGAGATGGTGTTAGAGGATAGTGTCGACTCCTAATGGGTCCACATGGGCCATTGCTGGGGTGATGTGGTCCAGCCAGTGTCCTTGTTCCCATGACACAGTCTGAGGTTCATAGGGATAAGTGTGCAATTTGATAGGAAACTATGTTCACAAACACACATGACTATGTATAGATTATAAACACGCGTGGCTTGCTGAAGGGTGCAAAGATGCTCTCATTGTCCTAGCTTTTCAGCTTTCCACACTTAGTGAAGGTTTCTGTTTTTGTTTCCACCTTTTCAATGTTCTAGAGAAATGTGGTTTCCACGGCAGTGAGCTCCTCTTTCTTCAGGGGACTCTGATGTGAGCAGAGGTGAAGCATCTCCTACCACCAGTTACAGCAAGCAGTGCAGAGAAGGCATTTCCTCATCTTAGGGAACTCGGGACGCGTTACAGAAAGGCGAGACAGATGTCACAGCCTGAGGCAGCGTTCAGGAAGGTCACGTAAGCATTCTGGTCTTCACTGGTCTGGGCTCACTTCTAAGTTGGTAGCCTGAGGAAAGTGTCATAGAAGGGATCACCAGATCAGACCTGGCTCCCACTTCCTTTGTGCTAACATTATAGATTATTGTCAACCAGTAATGAGCCTGATTTTATTTCCTGTGAGTCTTAATTGTGGTGCTTGCAGGTGGTGTACAAGGGCAAGTGTAAGCCTATGGCTAAGGGTGTGTCTTAGGCACGTGCTGGGTCCAGCCACGTGAGTTCAGATATCCCAAGTGGACTGTGTCCTTTACTGCCCCAGGGCACCCTATAAACAGTTACTTCCTGAAGCAGTATCTTCAACTCATTTGCCAGTAAACTTCAACTCATCCCTTAAGACCCAAGTGAAAGGTCTTTCCCAGCCCACAGGGTCTTTCTTGCCTCAGTCCTCTCCCAGCGACTGGGTGTCTGGATTTGGTGGCTGTGTGACTCCTCCATCCACACCTTTAAGTGTTTTCACTCACTAGTGCTCTCTTTGGACTGTCCAAAACTGATGTTTGCTGTTGAACTGAGGAGGCTGAGGCAGGAGGATTGCAAATTCAAGGCCAGCCCAGGCTAGAGATGAGCTTAAGACCAGTCAAGTGACATAGGACCCTGAAAATGGAAAGAAAAATGAAGAGATCAAGAGATGGGACTCAGTGGCAGAGAGCTGGCCCACTGTGATGAGGCCTTGGTTTCCAGCACCAAAGTAAATACGTGAATGCATACCCGACAGGCGAATGAGTGAAGATGCTAGAAACCACGAGGCTTGCCTCTCATGCCAGATCCACCAGCATGGGAAAACTTGTGGATCAGTGCGTCTAAATGACCTTAGGGGACACATAGGGGTTTTAGAACTGTGTCCCAGAATGCGACTTAATACCTCCTGAGAGCCGTTCTCTGCTTTCTTCCAGAAGTCTCTACTGTCCGGCTGTTTCTGAGCTGCCGCTGAATGCCCCATTGGGTGTGGAATTGGTTTCAAGTCATCAAAATTGTAAGTTGCAAAAT